GGAAGAATCGTCGGTGGTGGAAGAGGACGAGGAGGAGGACGAGGAGGACGAGGAGGAGGACGAGGAGGACGAGGAGGAGGACGAGGACGACGAGGAGGAGGACGAGGAGGACGAGGAGGACGAGGACGAGGAGGACGAGGACGAGGAGGAGGAGGAGGAGGAAGACGAGGAGGACGACGAGGATGAGGAGGACGAGGACGAGGACGCCCTGGAGCTGGAGGCGCTGCAGTTCCGGCCGCCGCCCTGGCCCTCCTCCTCCCCCTCGGTCTCGGAGCTGCTGCTGCTGCCACCGCTCTCACTGCTGCTGCCACTGCTCTCCGACTCCTCGGCCCCGTCCTGCTCCGCCTGGCCCTTGTCCGGGCTCTTCGGGTTGCCCGAGTCCTCGAACTCGAGCCCGCCCCCAGGCTCCTGGGCCAGGTCGCCATCCGCGGCCTTGGGCCGGGCGGCCTTGGGCTCACCGCCGCCGCCGCCCGCTGCCGGGGGGTAGCTGCCCAGGCCCAGGAGGCCCTTGGGCTCCTGCCAGCCCCCAGCCCCCGGGTCCTCCCGCAGAAGCAGGGCCTCTTTGGCCTTCTTGCTTTTGGGCGACGTCACGCCCTCGTGGTCCAGCTTGACGAGCAGCTCAGCCTCTTCCCCAGGCCTCCGGGGGCCCTTGGGGGCCGCCTCTTCGGCAGCCCGGGCCTTCTTGGGCTTGGGCCGGGTGGCAGGCATGGTGATGGGCATGGTGACAAGGGGGGCGGGGGCCAGGACCGCGGCGGGGGCCGGCAGCTCGCCAAAGGGCTCAGGAGCCGGGCAGCTGGTGAAGGTGGACGGCGCCGGGCTGGGCTGTGGGGGCGCTGGCCGAGCCTTGGGGGCTTTGGCCCGCTTGTCCATGGGTTCTGGGGGGCTCTTCTTGGAACTCGGGGTGCTGATCGGCTCCAGGGCCAACGGGGTACTGGGGACCTCCTCTGTTGGGCCCCCCTCCTCCAGGACAGCGGCTCTATCTAGAAGAGAGAAGGAAAAAGCTTCGGTGAGGCCAGGGCCAGGGGCTTCCCAAGCCAGAAAGCCCTGTTTCCAGCCTGGCCCTGCCCGTTCCTGAGCAGCACCCACTCTGGGCTCTCAAGTCACTGTCATCATATAGGTGGTGACCCCAACGTGGTTCCCCGGCCATCTCGGCTCCTAGCACTTGTCCCTGAATGCTGGAGTGAACCCCCTGGCTAAACCTCTGCTCTGCCCCCGACAGACCAACGTGCCTCCCAGAGCCTCGGTTTCCCAGTCTGTCACATGGTCCAAGTGGCCCTGCGACCAAGTCCCCACAGAGGTGTGCAGCCCGTCCCCAGCCATTCCCACACCTGCCCTTGTGCCTCGGCCGAGCGGGGGCCAACATACCACTCTTGGCTTTGGTGCTGGGTTTCCGCCCACGCCCTCGTGCCTTAGAGCTGGGCTCCTCAGACCCTGGCGTGCCCCCATCTTTGCTGTCCCCGGTGTCTTTGCTGGTCTTCCGGCTGCGGCGCTTGGCACTTGGCACCAGGAGGGCTGGGGATGGCTCCGCACCTGCAGAGCAGGACAGATGGTGGCTCAGGCCCGGGTCTCTGCTCTCCAGGCGGCCCGAGCATCCTCTGTGACGGCGGGCGGGGGCTGGATAACCCCATCGCTGACCCCACTTGGCCTGCCTGCAGGGGCTGCACAGTTGGGGAGGGCAGCCCCATCTGCAGGGGGGCACTCAGGTGTGTGCACGCACAATAAGCTCCATGCGGGCTCCTCGAATGAACGCACTGGGTGGGGCTGAGCCAAGATCCCCCCTTCCACCTGGAGAATGCCCAACCACTGAGCCCCAGAAGTCAGGCAGTCCTGCCTCTAGTCGTGGGACCCTGGAAGTCACTCCCCTCCTGGAAACCAAGCTTCGTGTTACACGCAGGACCGAGGCAGGAATTCAGTGGTCTCGTGGACATGGGGAGCATGGAACATTCAGTAATGGTGACTGACCAGCCTTGACACAGGCCTGGGGAGCCCCGGGAGCCCCTCCCTGACGCCCACTCTGGGAGCCCCAGCCACGGTTCCTGCCATTGCCATCCCATGGGTGTAAATGGTCCAAACGGTGGCCAGCGCCCAGAGCCGGGCTCACAGGGGAGCCAGGTGTGGACGTGGGGGTCATCCCCCGCCCCCCGGGCAACAGGGCTGGCACTCACACTGGATCTTATAGTCAGGAGGCAGAAGGCGGATGTGGGAGAGAGGGATCCTCCCCGTGTCCCCGTCATCGAACTCCACAGTGATCAGGTCCCCGTCATCCTCAAGACCGAGCAAGCCTGTTGGCAAAGGGGCAGAGTCAGGGAGGCCAATGGACCCCATTCTCGGAGGGGCACAAGGCGAGCCGAAACCAGCCGGTAAGCAGCACTGGGCTTGACATGTGCAAGGGCAGGTACACAGTGGGGCAGAATGTGAGCTTCAGAGCATGCGGTCCCAGCAGGAGCACCAGCACTCCCATTCCGGCATCCTGACTCCCCCGCAAGCAACAGGGGGAGAGGCAAGGGCGGGCACCCTAAAGGACAGAGGGAGCAGGCGAGGGGCTGGCGGCAGGTGGGAGCACGGCGTTTCACACCCATCTGCTCTCAGGGGCCTGGAGGGAGGCTGGTTTTCACAAGGGAGCCCCACAAGGCTCAGGCCCAGGAGGCACCCAGCAGCTCTGAAGGCAGGGGTCAGGGGACCCCAACACTGGACAGGCTGAGGGTGTAGGCCTGGGGTTCAGCAGAGCTGGGTGGTGACCCCCACCCCTCTCCCACACGCAGATGCCCGGCCGGACCCCAAGGACAGGGCCGTGGGTGGTGTGTCTGCCGGCAGCAGGCGCACCCCAGGTGCTGGGACCTGGGGTCCCTACAAAACACGCCTGCCCACGCATACGGTTTCCAATCCGCTTCCTAGGGACCACCAGGGCCGAAAGGACAGCCTCCCAGAAGAGGCAGACGCGGACCAGAGAGGTCAGGGGAGGCTGAAGAAAGTGCACAGGACCCCCTTAGAGGGAGGAAGGGGGACTCAGGAAAGGGAGCTGGGGAGACCCGACATGGAAACAGTACATTCTCCGAGAAGTTTAATAAAAGGTAACACAGATATAAGCAACAGCAGATGAAACAAAATAATATAAAAACAAGGACACAAACGTTCAAAAAAGAAAAAGAAAGAAAGAAAAAAAAGATTCAGAGAATAAGAAAAAACTCTTAGGAATTTCTTACATGACAGTAGGAATTTCAAAAATTCAAGAGAATGGAAGGGCCAGAAGGACAGGGTTAGCCAAGGAAACCTCCCGGGAGGTAGAACAAAACGGTGAAGAAACAGACAACCGACAGGAGAAAAGATACAGGCGCCGCGGGTGGCCCACGGGGGTCAGGGCAGGCGCCAGGCACAGGGGACATTTGCTTCAGAGCCTCCGCCCCAAGTCCCCAGCAGTGCGCACACACGGACACGGAGACACACGGACACGGAGACACACACACACACACACACACACACACGAAATTCCAGCTCTAGGAATAATGAGAACATCCTAACAGTTTCCAGAGAGAAAAAGCACGTCTACAAAGACCTGACTGTAATCATGGCATCGAACTTCTCAGACAACCTCGGAAGCCGGGTAACAACAGACCGGTGACTTTGAAGCGGTGACGGAAAATCATTTCCAACCTAGAATGTCTCCCCAGCTCAATGCCCGTAGCAGCACTGGGAATGAGGCAGAGAAAGACACGGGCGTGGCCCAGGAGCCGGAGAGATGGAGTTCTCAGAGGGATGACCAGGGGGAGCCCCTAGGATGACCCCATTGTGGTCCAGGGGGACAGAAAGCTCCAGGGCTCCCGATCACGATGAACTGTTACCACAGGCAGAGGCCCTCCTGCCCGGCACCCCCGCTCCCACCTTCTGCGTCTACATGGACACTGGGTGGCCGTGGGTGCGCCGCACGGGCCAGCTGGTCGGGGTGACGGGTGTTTTTTGTAACGTAATGAACATCCACATCCCCATCTCCTGGAAGTGTGGGGTCTGCAACAGCTAAGGGGGATGCTGTTCGAGCATCTGCTGTGTCTGTCTGTCTGAAACCTGTACCTGCACCTTCTGGGGCTCCTGTTATTTTTTTTTTTTTTAAAGATTTTATTTATTTATTCATGAGAGATAGAGAGAGAGAGGCAGAGGCAGAGGGAGAAGCAGACTCCCCGCCGAGCAGGGAGCCCGACGCGGGACTCGATCCAGGGACTCCAGGATCATGACCTGAGCCGAAGGCAGTCACTCAACCAACTGAGCCACCCAGGCGCCCATGGGGCTCCTGTTATTTTCGTCGGCCTAGCTCACAATCTCTTACTCTGCTAACAGCACCCCAACTTTCCCGGGGGGCCACCGTCCCCTCTCCCGGTCCACATGTGCAATCAGAAAGCCGACCTCGCTCGTTAAGTGTCGGGGATGAGACCCACAGCAGTCAATGAAATCCGCGTGACCCAAGCCGGCCACGCAGGCTCCACCCCAGGACTTCGATGGGGATCGAGAGACTTGCCCCAATGCCAGAATTTGGTAAGACAGCGGCCCCCCAAGGAACCGGGTGTGAAGCCAGCCCGACGGGAGCGGCCTGAGGCCACCGCGTGAACCGGGCCGGCCCAGAGGCCCCGTGAGTTGCAGCTACGCGAGCCGGCACCACCGTTTCTGCGCCATCGGGGCTGGGGCTCGACCGAATGTGCCAAGAGGAGGGGGCTGCCGGGGAGGGCGTGGGGCGCCTCACCTCGGACCACGGTGCCCGGATACAGGCAGCGATACTGCTGACTCCAGTAGGCCGCGATTCTGGTCCCCTGCGGCAAGAAGCGGGTGGAGGCCGGCCTCACGTCGTTGATCTGGGAAAGCCAAGCATTGAGCGCCAGGGGGGACGAGGGACGGGCCCGGCCCCCATCCTCTCAGGGGCCCCACCGCCCCAGCCCCTCACCGCCTCCTGCAGCAGCTGCTCCAGACAGTAGATGTGGGGCCGGTTCCCGCGTTCACCCTCCACCACCACACGGTATCTGCAAGGCCACGGCATGTACGGGGTGAGGGGACAGACCCTGTGGACCTCCCCAGAGGGACCCCTGACCTCAACTCCTGGCCCCCCGGGTGTGACGTCGGAGCTTGGGGGTTTGCTGACGCCCTATATAAACCCGGGGCAAGTCTTTCCCCTTCCGGGTCTGTTTCCTCCCCTGTACAGCGAGGGGTGGCGGGTCCAAGAGAGGCCAGCACATCCTGGGGGCTGACCATGACCCCCCAGCCCTCCCACAGAGAGCACTGCCCGCCCGGGGCCATTCACCCAGCTCAGAGAAGCAAAGCCACCTGCCCCCAGACGACTGGCACCCTGGACACGGGACCAGCTGAGGGTCTTCGGGCCCTGAGCCCGGCGCTGCTCCCAGCCCAGTCCCCCAGGTCCCCACTCACATGTCCGGTGAGTGCACCGTCTGCACGTGCCCGGCGTACAGCAGCTTGTCGTCCATGGGGATGAGCACACGCAGGCCGTCCTTCAGTTCGTCCTTGTCGATGATGCAGGAGCGTGGAGCTGCAGGGGGATCGGCAATGAGGCAGGGCTGGAGCCAGGGGACAGCCGGGAGACCTGCCCTCCCTGCCCCCCACCTCTCCTCCCCCCCCCTGCAGCCCATGTGTGTGCACACATCCATCCATGTGCCCAGACAGGCCTCATGCAGGGACACACAGTGGGGCCCTGAACAGCATCCCCCATCCTGACCCAGGCCTCCAGAAAGATCCCAAGCGGGAAAGAACCGGGGGTGACAGCCTGCACGTGCTGCCCATCCTCTACCCCAAAGACCACCACCCTTCAGGCCTGGGCAGGAGGCTCCAGGTCATCGGCCCCCACTGCTACCCCTTCTGCCAAACCTCCAGGACTTTCCACCTGGAATGCCACTGGTCCTGGTGGAAGCCAAACTCCCCTAGCCAAACTTCCCCAGCGAGGCTGTCCGCGCTCACTGCCCCCCACCCCACCTCCCGGCCTGTCCTCATTCCAAAGCTGCCTCCACCCTTGGCTTTCAAGTCGCCTGCTCCTGACACCCCAAATCCAGACACTCCTCAGTTTTCCTCCGCCAGACTCGGCCATACTGTTTTGGACTCCTGGGCCCACCCTTCCTGCCCCGCGGGACCTTGAACCCGGCCCCACCCTGCTGTGACCAGGCTGGAGAAACCCGGACAGCTCACCAGGGTGGGCAGAAGGGCCAGCCCGCATGTCCATCGCCGCCTGCACCCACATCCCTGCCACAGCCTCACCGTGGGTGTGTGGACTTCCCACCCCTCGACGCGGAGTGTGGCCACGTGACTCTCTGGCCAATGGCACGAGGGAGGAGGGATCAAGTGCCGATTCTGAACCTAGGCCTTAAGAGGCCTCGTCAGCTCCCACCTGCCCTCACGGGCCTCTGGCAGCATGGCCACGGAGCAGAGCAGTCCCGCGAGCCATCCCGCTGCCCTGCAGACAACTGAGCCACAGACACCTGCTGCCATCTACCGCTGAGGGGCTGTTTGTTACACAGCAACAGCGGAGGACACGCTCGTGACCAGGCGATGACGTTCCGCAGCTCTGCTCGTCCTCTTCTCTGCACCTGCCCCACCCAATCACGTCCTCAGCCTCTCCTCCGAGCTCCAGACCCCTGGGCCCAAGTGCCAAGCACGTGTCGCTTCCTGGGGCTGTCGGCCAGGCACCCCAGACTCCAGCCAGCAAAGCACGGCACGGGATCGCCCCCTGCTCCATCCATGCCCCCCCTACCACCACCCGTCCGCACCCCTTCTCATCTGCTCACACAGCCCACCCAGCCCACAGCCCCTCTCCCCCTCCCAACAAGCCCAAACCCACCCCACCTCCCACCATGCTGCCCATGGCGCTGCAGACCACCATCGCTCGCCGGGATCCCCACAGGGGCCTCCTACCTGGACTCCCTGTCCCCCTCAGGGACCCCCAATCTGTCCTCGACAAAGCAGTCAGAGAGCACTTTCCAAACCTCTCTGACCGCACTGACTTCCACTTACAACCTCTGACAGCTTCTTGTTTTCAGGAGGGCAAAGACCAGACTCTGCCCACGGCCCGCGAGACTGGGCCATCTGCCTCCTCCCCCCACCAGCTTGCCAAACTGGCCTCTCCCGGTTCACCTCCGACACCAGGCCCCTGCACGCGCTCACTGCCTGGGGGCTCAGCCCCTGCACCCCCACGCTGCCAACCAGAGCCAAGACGGCATCGCGGGTACTTACCCGGAGTCAGTGGCCGCTCCACGGCCCCGCCGCGAGGCAGGTGCTCATCCTCAGAGAAGCTCGAGTCCTGGTTGGGCTCGAAGTCCTCCTCGGCAGCCATGCTCTCCATCAGCTTGCTCACGGCTCCCCCCTTCCCCCGATTCTGGGGACAGAGCAGAGCAGGCCAATGGCTTAGGACGCACCATGCCAAGTCCTGCTGCTTAGGACCCTCCCTGGAAACCCGGGGTCACAGTCAGGCCACAGGGGCACCTGCCACATGTGCAGCGGGGGTCCAGCTGGCCTCACCCCATAGGCCAGAGGGAGGGCAAAATGGGGCCGCAAGCCGGATGACCAAGCCTGCACGTGCTGAGGCAGCACATCGAGACACACAGTGGGTCTGAGGACAAACAGCCTGGCCAGGGGCGAGACGGCACGGGCGCTAGGCACACCAGCTCACCCCCGTCTTGGGGTTCCCACGGGGACCTCAATCTTGGGCACGGCGAGCCTTACCTCCTTCTTCACCTCCTTCCCTTTGGCCTTCGCCTTGCTCCTCTTGGCAGTGGCCGGGGAGCTGGTATGGGGAGCCCGGGCCTCGGGGGGCAGGGCGGCAACACGGGGCGGGGGCAGTGCAGCCCCTGAGCCGGCCTCCTTCCCCTTCTTCTTCTGGGTGAGGAAGCAACAGAGGAGCCATCAGAGGCCACCCTCCCCCACCACTCGCCCTCCAGGGAGAGGAACAGAACAGCTCCCTCCCCTCCCGCATGTATGTTTGTTCTTAATCTTAATTGTTTTATTACTACTATATGTTGCTACTTGTAAAAAGAAAAAAAAGTACCCAAGTACATATGGGCGCAACTTCCTCTCCAGTGCATCCTATCAAGTACACAGCGCTAACTAGAATCACTACCGGCTACCCGGCACATCCTTCCAGAACTTTCCACCAGCACGTACAACCATACAAACACACAGGCTATGCAGACACATTTGTACACATGGTACTTTTTTTTTTTTAAAACACAGATGAGAATTTACCAAAAGTCCTGCTTCGCAACGCCCCCCCCAAGTACGTCTGAGATACACAGAGACCGCCTTGCTTCAGCTGCTCACGCGCAGCTGTGTGTGTGTGTGTGTGTGTGTGTGTGTGTGTTGGGGGGCGGGGCACAGGTCATTTATAACCACCCCCCAATGATGGATGCACAGGCAGCATCTTCCAAGTGATGCCACAGAAACAGGACAGTACCGGTCAGTTCCTCAGGCATGTTCCAGAAGGAGCAGGCAAAACCCTCCGACTGCCTCTGGGGCGCCCCAGCAGTGAGGGGAGAGCCACGCCCATCCCGGCTCCAAGCTCCCCCAGGGACGGTCCCCCGTCCCTGTCAGTGGCGCGTGGAAACTGGTCCCAGAGGGCCGAGAGTGCCCCCACCAGGCTTCGTGCATCAGAGCAGAGCACTACCAACAACCTGGCCGTCCTGGGACCTTCGGGAAACACTGGTGCATCACAGATCCAGTTACAAGCTTTCAGGCCCGCGGCGGCAGTGGGAAGAACAAAGTGGGGGTACTTGGTGTAAGAAGCAAGCTCAGGCTACGGGTCTGCATGACCCAGGGGTGATGGGCGGGCGGCAGGGTCGGGCGGGGGTGAGGGTCACTTTATGTTTTTTAAAAGACACATTCCTGAAACAAAACAACCAAGTCCAGGGACCAGAGGATGTGGGAAATGGAAGAAACATAAAAAGAGAATCCCGGGCGAATGTTAAAAAAGACCACAGCGGAAGTCACGTCCACAGCACAAAGCACCGTAAGGGACAAAGCAGATGATGGTACAGGGATAGAAGGTATTCGGTGTGGATCGCCATTTGCAGGGGGAAGAGATAGACATTTTCTCGTTTCGGATGCATGCCTTCATCCTGTTCACATTTCTGAAATTAGAAGGCATCCTGGGGGTTGAAGGAACGTCTGTCATGTGGTTCTGTGCCTTTTCCCCCAAACATCTGTTGTAAATAGCTCATCCGTCCATCGTGCACAGGGGACAGAAAGACAAGTTCTGAACGGACTTGTATTTTCTTCCTTTTCTGCAACCTCCAAATCAGTTCCAATCAGACAACTACCAATAACTGTTTCTTTCCCATTGACCAGAAGCCCCTTTCTGGGAACCTTATTTTTTTTAAATAAGAAAAGAACTCCAGGGGCACCTGGGAGACTCAGTTGGTTGAGCATCCGACTCTTGGTTTTGGCTCAGGTCATGATCTCAGAGTCCTGAGTTCAAGCCCTGCATTGGGCTCTGTACTCAGCGGGGAGTTTGCTTGAGATTCTCTCTCTCTCTCTCTCTCTGCCACCCCCCCCGTAAATAAATAAATAAAAATCCTTTAAAAAAAGGTAAAATAAGGCTGATGGAAAATGGGAATGTAGAAGTCTAAAAAGGACACGGAAAGTGTATCTCACAGAACTACGAACAGTAGTTGTTCCTGGGGTGATTTCATGGGTATCTGATTTCTCCTTTCGTTGACAATTAGCCTGTTCTGTTCTAGTCTTTCACTGTGTCGTCAGAAGGCTGGGGTTGGGTGAGCCCCCTGCCTCCCTCCCGACACAGGGTGCCGCATCTTGGCAAAGGGCCCAGGGGCCAGTGTGGCCCGGGGGGGTGTTCAAAGCTCAGCTTGGATGATCGTTAGCAGCCGTGACCTTGGGAGGGTGACAAGGCCACCTGTAAAGTCCAGTTATATGAGTAACCTACCTCACAGGGTCTCGTGATACGGGGACATGGTAAGAAATATATACTCGGTCTCTGCCCCGGTTCCTGACCCAGAGCTCCTAAGCCTCTTGGAATTTCCTGGATCATAGGAGCGTCTTTTGTCCTAACGAGGTGACTACGGGTAAGTCCCTAGCTAGCCCCGGGATGAGGGCCGCTCACCAGAAACACCAAGCCACTGGGGCGCCTGGGTGGCTCAGTCGTTAAGCGGCTGCCTTCGGCTCGGGTCATGATCCCAGGGTCCTGGGATCGAGCCCCACGTC